CTTAAGTACTTTTTTTAAGTATTTTTATTTTATTGAGTCTTTTTTTTCCATTCCCAGGATTAGTTTCTGTTTTTCATCCGTCATGGCGGATAGCAGCCATTAGGACTGAATCTAGACCTCACAGATCTAAACATTCAAGGGCGTTCCACTGATGAGAGAAACTCAGAATAGATATTATTAGTAGTTTATCGTTTTATTAAGGCGTTAGTTGTTGCCATGAGGCCAAGTTGTTCAGTAGGACGAGTCTCAGATCAGAGTTCTAGTTTCTAATAGATTTAACCTTTGACCTCTATTCTATAGAGGAAGAATTAAGACTCTCCTGGTTTCTATTTGGTTTGGTTTTAAATAAGAAATAGAAATCTAAATAACTGTCCTTAATTTTTGTGGCCTGTATGCTGAAGTTCTTTCCAGATGGTGCAGAATCTATAGCAGGTGGTTCTATGCATCAATACATCAGGTGGTTTCTGAAAGTTACAGGTTATTTCAATCTCACAGGAAGAGGAAAAGACAATTAGGAAAATTTTATTATACAATAACTTTAGCCTTTGGCGCTCAGACCTCGGCAGGAAACATAGCGCCGAATTTTGATAGATGTGCATGAACAGAAGCAAAGAACAGGGCTTTGGATGCAGATTGGTTTTCGTGGAGGTGTGGTTCAAAGCTGATTGGCTGCGTCGCAGGTGGATGAAGGAGAGCAGTTTCCTCAGTTGAACTTCCGCCTAGACTCTATTTAAGAAAATGTAATTTGCACATTTTAACACTTAAGTACTTTCAAAAGTGAAAACTTTAATACTTTATCTTTAGTAGATGTTTGACTTTTACTTGTAGGTGAGTAAGATTTGAATATGAGAATCAATACTTTTGCTGAAGTACTACTATTGAGTACTTGGTCCACCGCTGCCCCTTAGTGGGAAAGGAAAGGTTTATTCTTCTCTGTTCTATCAATCAGTTAACATTTAGATGTTAGCTGATTAAAAATAAATCTTCTCCTGATCAAACTTCCAATCTGAACATTTTCTGTCTTCTGAACATTTAGCTCTAAACTCAGTCTGGGATTAAAATGCTGATATTAGAAACATATAGCAGGCAGTTTGCTCTGATTACTCCTGTTTTTAGCTGCACCTCCTCCTGCTTCCATGCAACCTGCTGTAACCATGGCAACCCCTGCAGGTAGATGCATTCACCACAGTGAGTGGATATTTGAAATGACACCGTTTTCAAAGTGAGAGGAACATTCGGCTCCACCTGCAGCTCTGAACTGACTCATTATGCAGATATTAGCTGCATCATTTTAATAAAGACGCTAAAATGATCCAAACTATAAACCGAACCCTAAAGTAACCCTCTGGTTCCTCTCTGTTCCTCAGGAGGGGAGCCATGCAGCAGAAGGTTTGTCCCAGAGGTCCAGCTTCCTTCCTCCTGGACAGAAACGGACGGGCGTGCGGCGCCGTCTCAGCCACTTCCTGTGAGCTCCCCTTCCGCTGCCCCCGCTGCGGCGAGCAGGAGCGTTTCCGCAGCCTGGCGTCTCTGAGAGCACACCTGGAGTACCGCCACTCCTACCGCTCCCCCGATGTCATCTCCGGAGATTTCAGCATCACTGGGAAACACCCCGACCCGCTGACGGCGGCGATCCCCTGGCAGGACATGAGCCTCCCGACCCGCAGGGGGCAGCAGGGCGCCGCCAGGCCGCCTCATGTTCGCTCGCTGAGCGACAGCAGAGACAGCGGCTTCCTGCAGCCTTACGGCTCGGTGAGGAGGCGCACCCAGAGCGTAGGGGTGGGGACACAGGCGGAGGAAGAGGAGGGAGAGGAAGGAGGGGAGGATGAAGATACAGGAGAGGAAGAGGAGGAGGATGATGATGATGATGAAGGAGCAGATGAACCCAGGATTAAGTCAGAGCTTCCAGTGTCCAATAAAAAGCCAGAAACTGGCCTCCAGCATCACCGCTCATTCCCTCCTGGTTCCATCGCCCCGCCTCTGGACATGGACCCAGAACCGGACCAGGACCAGGACCAGGACCTGGACCTGGACCTGGACCCGACCGGTAGGATCCAGTTTGACTCCTTTAACTTTAAGGTAACCACATGGTGATAACTCGCCTCTGTTTCCTCCAGCTCAGAGCTCCTTCTCCGGCCTGGAGACGGCGGCGGCCTCAGCGGCGGTACGGCGGCGGCTGGCCGGCATCCTGCGGGCCGCGGACAGCACCATGCAGCGCCGGCTGGCCAAGCTGAGCACGGAACTGGCCAGAACCGACACGGAGCTGCTGTGTGAGCGCGCCCACTCCCAGCATCTGGCCCAGGAGAGGCAGGAGGTGGCAGACAGGCGGCGCTCTCTGAGCCGGCAGGTGGACGTGGCCGTCATGGTGATCGCCGCCCTGAGGGAGCAGCTCTACGCCTCAGAGAACGAGCTGGAGCGCAGAGAGAGGTGGGAACACCTGGATGGCCTGCAGGTCAGAACCTGGTTAGAACATGTGGCCTGATGCTCTGCTTGTCCAGGGAGGTGATCACCATCCAGAGGTTCCTGGAGGCGGCGGCGCGCCAGGAGACCAGCGGGAAGGTCCGGATCCAGCGGTTCATCGAGGGCCTGCTGGGCCGCATCGCCCTGGCTGAGAAACTGGTGGAGTTCTACCAGGTGAACGGCAGCCCGGCCCAGTGTGAGCGCTACCAGGTACCGCAGCCAGTCTAGGTCACATAGATCTGCTGCTTTCAGCTGAGTGGCACAATCTTCTTCTTCTTGGTCTATTTTTTTGGTTTTTTATGCTGTTTTTGTTTGTTTTTAATTGATTTAATGTTTTTTTTTTGTTTGGTCAGCTTTATTTTTTAACCTTGTATTTTTATGTTAAGTCTTTTTTTCTTCCTCTTGTTGCTGGAATCAAATCCTCTTCCTGTTTTCTCTCCCAGCAGCAGCAGCAGGCTGATCATTGCCGCCACAGAATCACTAAAAGCAGGTGAGTTTTTATAATAATTGATTAAATATAAGAAAATAGTCCAATGTTTTCAATCTGAAATCAAGGCTCCTTGTTCTTCTGAATCCAAAGATTTAGTCATGAATCAGTTTTTTTGAAGCTGTAGAAACGACGACCGGCTGTGGGATAAATTTCCAGGATAACGTGAATGTTTGTCTTTAAAGAATCCCTGCAGGAAACATGTTGGAGTACCAATATGGCCGCCAGTGGCTTCACTTTTTTCTGGCAACCAGTAATCCAGTGAATAAATAGAGATCATTGGTCACATGTTGGACAGACTGAGTTTATCTCTGGTCCAGATCACCACTCCTCCACCGCCGTGCTGACAGTGTTTCTCATGGTTGAACCTCTGAGCCTTTGATCTGATAACTTTGATCCAGGTTGATTCCTGCTGACCTCCTGCCGTCGCTAACCAGCTCTGGTTCGGTGTGTTTTAGACCATCTTCTGACCCATAAACCTTCTGTGATGCTTTCAGGTCCGCAGCAGGTCCGATCTTCTCCTCTGGTCTCCATGACAACAGGACTCAGTCCTCCTCCCAGTTCGGCGCCGCTCCTAACGCTGCCGTGGAGCGCGAGCGGCAGGAGCGCCTGGCCCAGTCCTCCCGGCTGTTCTGTCGACCGGAACACAGAGACGACATCTGGAACCACCAGCGGCGCCGGTCCACCGGGTACGAGGCCTAGAACCGGAGAGATGGGGTCTGGTTCTGAGACCCAGTGGGTCCACAAACCACCAGGCCCACATGAACAGAACCTCATCAGAACCAACTTTCTGCCTAGAATATTGTAAATAAAACTTTACGGGTAAAAAAACAAACATTTATCAGAACCTTGGGGTTCTTATTAGTTCTGCTGGTACCTTTAGGTTCTGGATATTTGTCTAAATATGAATCTGAACCCGGTCCAGATCGTAATGTCCTTCAGAACCAACAGATGTCACTACTGGACCATGTTGATACCAAGTAGTTGGTTCCGTCGGTTTGGGTTCTCTGGTTCTTTCTACATCAGCACAAACGGTTCTGAACGGATCATAGTCGGTGTCGTCTGGTTCTACAGATTAGATCTTTAATATTTGATCCTGAAACAGAACCAAGGAGATTTTAATCTCTTCTGGTCCGACCCTCAGATTATCAGATTATTTCAGCATCTAGTTGATAAATTCTTCCTCATTTTGTCCATCCAAGCAGCCGGATCTTCCTGGAAGGTTCTGATGGTTCTTCTCTGGGCTCGGCCTGCTTTTCTCCTCCTTTAAGTCCAGTTTTCACCACCATGATTCTTCTGTGTTGATTTAAAGAAGCTGCTCGTCTTCCTGAGATCTGATCGGGTTACAATCAGGATCCTGATAGGACCTGGAAATCCTGGAATTCCATCAAGCAGATTTACTGAGTGGAGGATCTGCAACAATCCGTCCTGCTTTCCAGGGATGAAGATGAATATTCTGGAACGTCTTTACATTGAGAATCCTTGAAAGTCCTTGAGAAGTTAGAAAGATCCTGGAAGTACTGTAGTTTAAAGAAAAGTCCAAAGAACAATCAAGAACCTTTACATTGCAAAAAATATTTAGAAATAAGTAAAAATGTCTTAAAATAAATCTATTTACATTTAATTTGAGTAGGTCAATTAGATGATCTGCTAATGGAATGATTATTTTTACTCTTAAAATAAGATAATTAGATAATATGCACTTGAAATAAGAATTAAATAGTTTTTTTTATTTTAAATTTAAATTGTCTTGTTCTATTTGCAAAATGTCTTACTTATCTCCTCAATTCAAGAACAAATGTTATTAAAAAAAACAGAATGACTTATTTAAGTTAAATTTTTTACAGTGTAGATGTTGGTTCTGATCAGTAGTTGGAATCGGATCCATTTCTAAGCAGAACTTCAGAA